TTTTGTTTGAGGAATATTAAAAAAGCCATAATTCCTCCTAAAAGTTCAATTAAAAACAAATGCCCCTTCATGACAAAGCTTCTGTGAAATATTTTGCTGAAAACCTGGTTGCATCGCATTGCGATGTTTCTTGTTAGAATTTGCGTCATTTTTTTCTATTTTTAGAGATTGCGTCATTGTTGCTATTTTTAGAAATTGCATCATTTTTTTCTATTTTTAGAAATTGCGTCATTTTGGTTCTATTTTTAGAAATTGCGTCATTGTTTCTATTTTTAGAAATTGCGTCATTTTTTCTATTTTTAGAAATTGCGCCATGTTTTTCTATTTTTAGAAATTGCGTCATTTTTTTTCTAATTTTAGAAATTGCATCATGTTTTTCTATTTTTAGAAATTGCGTAATTTTTTTCTATTTTTAGAAATTGCGTCATTTTTTCTATTTTTAGAAATGGCTTGATTTTTTTTCTATTTTTAGAAATTGCGTCATGTTTTTCTATTTTTAGAAATTGCGTCATTTTTTTTCTATTTTTAGAAATTGCATCATGTTTTTCTATTTTTAGAAATTGCGTCATTTTTTTCTATTTTTAGAAATTGCATCATGTTTTTCTATTTTTAGAAATTGCGTCATTTTTTTCTATTTTTAGAAATTGTGTCATTGTTGCTATTTTTAGCTCACCTGTCACAAAGTGACAGGGTGAGCTTTTGTGATCGCTTTTCGTCCGGCGTCCGTCCGTCCGTCGTCCGTCCGTCGTCCGTCCGTCGTCCGTCCGTAAACTTTTGCTTTAAAAGACATCTCCTCATAAACCACTGAGCCAATTTCATCCAAACTTCACAGGAATGTTCCTTTGGTGGTCACCTTTAAAAATTGTTCAAAGAATTTAATTCCATGCAGAACTCTGGTTGCCATGGCAACCGAAAGAAAAATCTTTAAATATCTTCTTTTAAACAACCCTAAGAGCTAGAGCTTAGATATTTGGCATGAAACATCTTCTAATGAGTGTCTACCAAGTTTGTTCAAATAAAAGCCCTGGGGTCAAAATTGGCCCCGCCCCAGGGGGTCATTGATTTTCCCTATATGCATATAGTAAAAACTTAAAAAATCTTCTTTTAAAGAACTGTAAGAGCTAGAGCTAAGATATTTGGCATGGAACATCTTCTAGTGAGTGTCTACCAAGTTTGTTCAAATAAAAGCCCTGGGGTCCAAATTGGCCCCGCCCCGGGGGGTAATTGATTTTCCCTATATGCATATAGTAAACACTTAAAAAAATCTTCTTTTAAAGAACTGTAAGAGCTAGAGCTTAGATATTTGGCATGAAACATCTTCTAGTGAATGTCTACCAAGTTTGTTCAAATAAAAGCCCTGGGGTCAAAATTGGCCCCGCCCCAGGGGGTCATTGATTTTCCCACTATGCATAAAGTAAAAACTTAAAAAAGCTTCTTTTAAAGAACCCTAAGAGCTAGAGCTTTGATATTTGGCATGAAACATCTTCTAGTGAATGTCTACCAAGTTTGTTCAAATAAAAGCCCTGGGGTCAAAATTGGCCCCGCCCTGGGGGGTAATTGATTTTCCCTATATGCATATAGTAAAAACTTAAAAAATCTTCTTTTAAAGAACCGTAAGAGCTAGAGCTTAGATATTTGGCATAAAACATCTTCTAGTAAATGTCTACCAAGTTTGTTCAAATAAAAGCCCTGGGGTCCAAATTGGCCCCGCCCCAGGGGGTCATTGATTTTCCCTATATGCATATAGTAAAAACTTAAAAAATCTTCTTTTAAAGAACTGTAAGAGCTAGAGCTTAGATATTTGGCATGAAACATCTTCTAGTGAATGTCTACCAAGTTTGTTCAAATAAAAGCCCTGGGGTCAAAATTGGCCCCGCCCCAGGGGGTCATTGATTTTCCCTATATGCATATAGTAAAAACTTAAAAAATCTTCTTTTAAAGAACCCAAAGAGCTAGAGCTAAGATATTTGGCATGAAACATCTTCTAGTGAATGTCTACCAAGTTTGTTCAAATAAAAGCCCTGGGGTCAAAATTGGCCCTGCCCCAGGGGGTCATTGATTTTCCCTATATGCATAAAGTAAAAACTTAAAAAATCTTCTTTTAAAGAACCCAAAGAGCTAGAGCTAAGATATTTAGCATGAGACATGTTCTAATGGGTGTCTACCAAGTATGTTCAAATAAAAGCCCTGGGGTCAAAACTGGCCCCGCCCCGGGGGTCATTGATTTTCCTTATATACATAGCAAAAACTTAAAAATCTTCTTTGAAAAAACCCAAATAACTAGAGTTTAGATATTAAGCATGAAACATCTTTAAGTAAATATCTACAAAGTTTGTTCAAATAAAAGCCCAGGGGTCAAAACTGGCCCTGCCCGAGGGGTGTCATTGTTTTTAACTATATGTGTATAGTAAAAACTTAAAAAATCTTCTTTTAAAGAACCCAAAGAGCTAGAGCTAAGATGTTTAACATGAAACATCTTCTTATGGGTGTCTACCAAGTCTGTTGAAATAAACAAATAAAAGCCCTGGGGTAAAAATTGGGCCGGGGGGGGGGGGAGGCTATATACAGGTGAGCGACCTTTAGAAATTGCGTCATTTTTTTCTATTTTTAGAATTTGCTTGATTTTTTTTCTATTTTTAGAAATTGCGTCATGTTTTTCTATTTTTAGAAATTGCGTCATTTTTTCTATTTTTAGAAATTGCGTCATTGTTGCTATTTTTAGAAATTGCGTCATTTTTTTCTATTTTTAGAAATTGCGTCATTGTTTCTATTTTTAGAAATTGCGTCATTTTTTCTATTTTTAGAAATTGCGTCATGTTTTTCTATTTTTAGAAATTGCGTCATGTTTCTATTTTTAGAAATTGTGTCATTGTTGCTATTTTTAGAAATTGCGTCATTTTTTTCTATTTTTAGAAATTGTGTCATTATTTCTATTTTTAGAAATTGCGTCATTGTTGCTTTTTTTAGTAATTGCCTCATTTTTTCCTATTTTTAGAAATTGCGTCATTGTTTTTATTTTTAGAAATTGCGTAATTGTTGCTATTTTTAGTAATTGCTTCATTTTTTTCTATTTTTAGAAATTGTGTCATTGTTTCTATTTTTCGAAATTGCTTCATTTTTTTTTCTATTTTTAGAAATTGCGTCATTGTTTCTATTTTTAGAAATTGCGTCATTTTTTCTATTTTTAGAAATTGCATCATTTTTTTCTATTTTTAGAAATTGCGTCATTTTCTCTATTTTTAGAAATTGCGTCATTGTTGCTATTTTTAGAAATTGCGTACTCTTGCTATTTTTAGAAATATGCTTAATGTTTCTATTCATATATATACAAAATATATAAACAAAACTAATGTGACAAGACAGACCAACTAAATTTATAAAAAGGAAACATCAATATATGTTCAAACCTTTCTATGTTTGCGTTTAGAAAAAGTAAAAAGTCGAGCGTTGCCCCCGCCCGGCGGTGGCTCTTGTTACTTAGATTATGTTTGTCAAAAGTGGAAATATTTTAACAAACAAACATTAACACTGCATATTGCACTCTTGTTTATTTGTGAAATTTGCTGTTTTTGGTTCATTCTTGGACAGAACAACATTCAGGGCAAAACTTTAAAAATTGAGTTGTTCAAAATATGACCTTGATCTTTGACAGACCTTCACTCATAAAGGCCTCTATCAGTGTTTTTGCATTTGAATTTATGAAAAAGTAAGGTTTGTCTCCTGTTTGTTTTGGCTCTTGTTTTATTTGAGAGGGTATTTCTCACATTAGGTTATAAAGTTCTAGATTACTCTTTACTGTAAGGCAAGGTGAGGTATCTAATGCCTACACTCTTCAATTTAAACACTGTTTTGGGGTATATGATTTACCCAAAACACATTTTCAATGAAAAGTTTCTCAGGTTTGGTAGGTTTTCTTTGTACATGCATTTATATAGTAAAAGCTTAAGATTCACTCTTGAAATAACAAATCTAGGCCTTAGATATGTGACATGAAACATTGTCTCTTGGGCCTCAAGCTTGTACATGTACAGCCCTTAGGTCAATATTGGCTCTGTCCTGTTGTTATGGGTTTTAATTATAACATATGAATATTGTAAGATCTTCTTTAAAAAATCCTCTCGACATAAACTCACAAGGCCCTGCTACATTGAAATTTGCCCTCACATATTGTATGGATACAGGGACCCCTTCTCAGTGCCTTGGGATATATACCATTTCAGCCCGATGTTGGGTTCCAAATGTCGAAATAAATGTACCGCCTGACTGGTGCTTAAACCAGGGACCCTCAGAATGCTTTACCTTGGTTCAACTGACTGCTTTACCTTGGTTCAACTGACCGCTTACACATTTTCCTCCCAAATTAGTGGACAGTTCAATAGTGTGACAATTTGCCAATTTAAATGAGGTTCAATTTTAAGATACAATAGTTAGCATATGAGGCAATACTTCATGCACAATTAGTACTGAGCAGAGGTAAAGTGACATACTTTAGAGGTCAAATTTTAGACTCGAGCATTTTGTCAAGACTAAAGTAAATGCTACCTTAGAGGAGGAGTTGCCTTCTTATTTCTATTTTTATATTTTCCTATATTTAGGCCATGAAAATCCTATATTTTAATTACATTCCTATATTTTTGTGATGGGAAATGAGTGGACATCCTGTATAATACACATATAAAATGATAAATATTTTCAAAACTTCTGCTATTGCTAAATTGCATTAATATACAATGCACCTCTGTTGTTTGTACAACAGTACTTAATTCAGAATAAACTAACACTCTCTAAGAGAAATGTCTCACATCAAATACATGAACAATAATTTTGTCTCTCAAAGATTGTACTTGGTTTTACTGTATATTAAATTCACTACCTTCTGCTATTATTGAAACTTTAAAACAAATTGCTGTATTCAAGATTATATGTGTTTGTTTTAAAAATGTTTCTATATATCTGATCAAATAGTTAATATATCTTAATATTTATTAATTTGTTTGCAGGTTTTTAGGAGCCAACAATAACTATTTTTTCTCAGTGGTAGAAAATATTGGAGTGTTACAGGATATGAACGTACATCATGACTGGCAAAAAGCAACCATAGACAACATGTTATTACCCAGCTATAAGTATGAAATTAAAAAGGATGAAATGAAACCTACATACAGAAAAAGTAACAATGACACTATTTATGATATATTAGAATCAATACAAAGTAAAAACTGAATAAATCCAACCTCATTAATATGACTGACTCCACACTGTTCAATGGCAGATTTAACATTTGTTATGTTGTAACAACTTTAACCATAAGCATTGTTTTATTTCTAATTTATTCAATATTTTGTTACTTACTTTCAGTGTTAGTGGTACTCTAAATTTCATACTTCAATTGGTCTACAATGGGCAATTTTTATATAAGTATTTCAAATGTTAATAACAACAATAGAAATGTATCAATTTGATATGCTTATAAGATATTTCTATTATAATATTGACAGAGTTGTAAGTGATTTGCTAAAGGCATTATACTCAACATCACTAATTTTGCGTCATTACTTTTTTCACAATAATGGCACATTTCCATGTAAACAGGGCCTAAAAGTAACCCTACATTTTCTTGGAGAGCATGTTTCCCTAACAACACAATTATTTTTTTAGACCTAGTGTTAAAATTGGTCAAAATTGACGTATTATAGTTATACCCCTAAACAACAAAGTTTTTGTGTAAAAATTTAAAATCTGTAGATTTTTACTAGAAATAGAACTGCATTTTACTCATTTCTTTGATCTACTGACTACATCTTCACCATTAAATAAGTAAGGATAATAATGCCACTGGGAGCATTAGGTCAAGGTCATTTGCTTACAATAGAATATTCAGCTTCTACTCAGTAACTTCAGTGCACTTTTACCTATTAATTGCTGTCACATCAAAACTTGGTCGTTGAAAACCTGGTTATCGTCGCTTTGTGGTGCTTCTTATTTTGATTGAAATGTTGTAACGTTTTCTTGAGTCATTTAGAAGAAAAATGACAATTTTTTATACTGTAAGTTCACTGTTTTTCTTCTTGTTTTGAAGTGTTAAGTACCATGAACTAAAAGAAGCAAGGTCATGTATATGATAAATAACAATATTTATTTTTTGCTATATATACTAATAGATATGTTTTATTTGATCATGTATCTCACACTAACAACATACATATATAATTCTTTTATAGTTTGTCACATATGATTCTCAATACTATCAAAATTACCATTGGACCAGTTCACTTTAATATGTTCTTATAAGAAATTTTATTCACTGTATAAACAATATGATTTTATAAGACTTTTACACACTGAACATGGGGCGTCCATATCTGAGTGGTTAAGGTTGTTGAAAATGCGGCTTTCTTTACACCTGTTTCAAAAGCATTTGCTATCAAATTTTATATAATCAATGGAATTATTTCTATTGCTGGACTTTTAGCTGGACTGTTCAGAGCTGGTATTCTCTATAATTATTAACATAATGGACACACATCCCATAACTCTGGGTTACCTTTTAAGAGAGTTATGCCCCTTATCTTACTGTTGTGCAATGAGAATTTGCTGCGTTCATAATCTGATAAATTAGGTCTGTTGAACAGAACACTGGTATTCTTAGTTAATGTATATACTAGGCATAATGATAAGTTCATACAAAACTAGCAACATGTTACAGTATAGTGGGTGTCAGCGTTTCCATTATTTACTAAATTTCAGAATGTACAATTTGTTTTTGAGAAACAATTCAAACCGTTACCCTTTTATATGTATTTTTATAGATTTTATTAGTCTTACTTTTCTTTTCTTTTATTTCATAAGTCCAAAATGCTATAAAATATTCTAAACCAATAAATAGTGACAATTTCCAATTTATTAAATTTTGCAAACTTTTGTAAATTGAATTCTGCAATCTTTTGTAAATAAAATATATATTTCAAATAACTTTCTTGTTTCATTGAAACCCTCAATACACTGTGTAATGATATCCTCTTACATTGTTTGCAATGCCATTTTGTCATGCTACTATTTTATGTTATTTGTCAGAACCCTGATATAGCCTTTGACTCAATAAACTTGTAAACTAAACTTGTAAACTTGAAAATACAACTATTTTCCAAACTGCCAGACTGTCTGTCAGACCATCTGTCTTTCTGTCCGTCTCTAAAAACTGTATATTGAGATAAATTTTAAAGTACTTTCCAACAAATAAACTTAAACTAAAGCAAAGTTGACACACAAGTTATACATATTCATCCTGAGAAAATTTGATCTTTGATTATATACTACTCAAAATTTGCTAAGTATCACTTTTTCTACAGTGCCTTATTTTGAGCTCAGCGGAAGGCTCAGGGTGAGCTTTTAGTATCAAAGGGGGATACTCCGGCGTCCGTCGTCCGGCGTCCTTCATCATGCGTCAACAAACAATCGTCTTTTTCTCTTTAACTGCTGGGCAGATTTACTTCAAATTTGGTCTGTAGCATCCTTGTGACAGTCACATTTGAATGTGCTCATGTCATTTCAATTGGCTCCTTTTAGGGGTCAACAGAGCTAAAAAATAGAAAAAAACCTTTAAACATCTACTACAGAACTGATTGATGGATGATCACCAAACTTTGTCTGTAGCATTCTTGGGTAGTCTTTTATCAAGTTTGCTCATATTAATTTGATTGGCCCCTTTTAGGGGTCTCTAGGGCTTAAAATAGAATAAAACCTTTAGACATCTTCTTCTACAGAACTAATGGATGGATGATTACCAAACTTTGTATCATTCTTGTTTTAGTGGTCTATAGGGCTAAAAATAGAAAACCCTTTAAACATCTTCTACAGAACTAATTGATGGATGATCACCAAAATCTGTCTGTAGCATTCTTGGGTAGTCTTACATTAAGTTTGCTCATATTATTAGCTCACCAGAGCCAAAGGCTCAGGGTGAGCTATTAGTATCAAGAGGGGGATACTCCGGCGTCCGGCGTCCGTCGCCATGCGTCAACAACCTACTTTAGGTATTATTGACATCATTTGACCTACTTTCTTGTTTTTGACATTCAGATTTTAAATTAGGACCAGGTTTGCAAATTCTGATGCCGAAATCAATTTTGATATCAACTGACCTACTTTTGATATTTTTGATATAATTTGACGTTCATTCTTGTGTTTTTTGACATACAGACTTGAAATTTGGACTAGGGGTGTAATTTCTGATGCTGAATTGAATTTTTATATCAACTGGCCTACTTTTCATATATTTTACAATGTTTGACCTATTTTTTTTTTGAGGTACAGTTATGTTACCATACAGAATGTATAAAAAATTTGTTGTCCCAAACTGTGGACTTTAAACATCTACACCTTACATGTTTTGCATGTGACATTTTGTGTTTTCATTCAAAAAAAGTTATAAAAATAATTGTCCAATCAAAATTAATCCTGCTCTAGTGGTCAGTTATTCTGCATTTATTCTACATAGTCTAATAAGAACACTTGCAACATACATATTTTTAACAAATCCTTTCCAAAATATTAGGGCAAAATATTACAACTTATATAGTGAATAATGAAATGATGGGTTAGATGAGTCATCTAGGGCCATCTTAGTGGCCCTATTGTTTGTTATGAAACAAGCAGTGTTGTTAAAGTATATTACTAGAGGGCAAGTTAAAGTTGAGCTGAACGTGCCGAAAGAGCTGGACTTGTCTTTCAGCAAGTTCTTTTGAAAAATAATTTCCAACAATGAAAAGCAGTTGTTTCTGGTGAGCGACTCAGGGCCATCATGGCCCTCTTGTTGTGATTGGCCCCTTTTAGGGGCAGCTAAAGCTAAAAATAGAAATACCTTTAAACGTCTTTTTCTACAGAACTAAGAAAATATTGACAATGGATAATTTACAACACTGAAAAGCAGTTGTTTTTGGTGAGCGACTCAGGGCCATCATGGCCCGCTTGCTGTGTATTTGTAATTAATGTGAAAATTGATTAAAATGAATTAAATATAATTAATTAGGAATTGATTTTTATGAAAATAGTGACAATGGAAGTGTTCCTTGTCGTGTGCCTGTTGCGGAAAGAGTGTGCTGGACGAAAATCAACATTTTAGAGATCACATAGAGGAATAAAAAAATCTTGCAAATCAGGAAATGGTTGGCGTAGGGTGTCTAATACCCATTATGGTGTCCGCGGGCATTAATTACGGCCTGGCATCGCCACTTGATGCTTATGAGCCTGCAGACCTTGTGATGAGGAACATGGGCCCATTCTTCTATGACTGCATGTCTTAACTCCTGAACTGTTGTTAAATCCAATTGAGCATACTTATCAAACTCATATTGACTTGGGCTCTCAAATTACCTTGACTTTGTGTCACAATAGGGTCTGAAAAGCCTTTTCCTGACTTTCACCCCATTCAATACGATTTGGTTGAAACTTTTTTGTCAAATCGGTCAACGGAACAGCAATGGCGGCAAAGTTAGGGATGAACTTCCGGTACCAAGACACAACCCCTAAAAATTGCCGGACTCCTCGCTTAGTCGTGGGTCTCTCGGCCTCCTGAATTGCATTGACCTTACTGAGAACAGGTTCAATGGACTTACTACCTCCTATCATATGACCTAAACATTCCAATTTTTCAAAACATATGAAACACTTGGACGGTCTAGCAGTAAGCCTAGACTCTCTTAATTGGGTAAATAACTCATACAATGCATTGATATGCTCTGGCCATGTGACTGTATAGACCAAAATATCATCTATAAAACTATCTGAGTGACCTAGATCTTTCAAAACCTTTCTCATCAGTCTACAGAACGTTGCAGGGGCATTGACTAAACCAAAGGGCATTTTCCGGAATTGAAAAAGTCCCGACGGGGTTTCAAATGCGGTCAAAGGTTTTGCATTGTCAGACAAAGGAACTTGCCAGTATCCTTTACTAAGGTCAATTTTCGAAAAATACCTGTATTTTGATAATTTCGAAAATATCTGTTCCATATTGGGCATCGGTTCCGCATCAAATACCGTGCATTTATTGATCTGTCTAAAATCAATACAGAACCTAATCGTGTTATCCTTTTTCCTGATAAGGACAATTGGACTAGAAAACGGAGCATTAGAAGGTTCGATAACTCCCAACTCTAGCATTTTATCAACTTTTTCCTTTACTATCTGCTGTGAGTGAAAAGGAATAAGATAACCCTTAGTCCTTACCGGTTCTGACGTAGTCAACTTAATGTCATGCTGAACTAATGACGTATTTCCGGGTATATCTGTTAAAACATCTGAAAATTTCTTTAACAAGGTTGCAATCTGAGTCTTACAATCTGTTTGTAAGTCAGGATTGACCTGAACATCTTTATATGTCTCTGAACCTTTCTTCAATGGACATAACAATATGTCACTATCATCTTGGTAACTTGTTTCTAAACTATCATCTTCCTCTAATCTATCATACCCATTTTCCGCTTCTACAACAGCTGCACTTACCTTTGCCAATGCACCTCGTTCTGGTTCGAAATTTCTTTCAACATACTCCTTCAGCATATTGGCATGGAAAGTTTTGATCTTATTGTTACCTATGTCTATCCGATAATCTAATTTGTTCACGACCTCGGAAACTACAAATGGACCTTTCCATTGTAACAACAACTTATTGCGTTTTGTAGGTATAAGAACCAGTACTTTACTTCCCTTCTTAAAAGTTCTATCTCTAGCTTTCCTGTTGTAATACTTTCTATACCTAATACTGCTCTTCTCTAGCTCCTGCTGTGCTATCTTACATGTACTTTCTAGTCTTTCTTGCAAATCAACTACATACTGATAAGTTGTCTTAACTTCGTCATTCTCTGTTTTTTCCTGACCATAACTCTCTCAAAATGGTAATTGGACCTCTTATACTACGTCCATATAACAATTCAAATGGCGAGAATCCTAAACTCTCTTGTGGAACTTCCCGATACGCAAACAACATAGCATTCAAATACTTATCCCAATCTGTAGGTCTTTCACTACACATCCGTTTCAACATCTGCTTTAAACTACCATTAAATTTCTCCACTAAACCATTACACATCGGATGATACGGTGTAGTTGTTAACTGTCTAAGAGACAGCAACCTACTAACCTCATTCATAATCTGTGAAGTAAATTGTGATCCACAATCTGTAAGCATTTCCTCTGGAACACCTAATCTACTATACATGTCAACTAATGCTTCGGCTACTCTTTCAGTCTCTATACTAGGCAATGCAATTGCTTCAGGATATCTGGTAGCATAGTCTACCATGGTCAAAATATATCGGTTCTACCTATCAGTCATAGGTTCGATCGGACCAACAATGTCAACGGCAACTCTCTTAAAAGGAGTATCAATCAAAGGCATCTTACCTAAAGTTACCTTACTTATTCTACCTTTAGAAATAGTACGTTGACAAATATCACAAGTCTAACCTCTACAAGAACACCTGGCCAATAAAACTCCCCTAAGACTCTATCACTTGTCTTCCTAATACCAAGATGTCCTGCCAAAAGCGAGTCATGCGCTACTTTTATCACAGTCTCCCTAAGATCCTTAGGAACTACTAACTGCCTACTTACGTCACCATTTCCTGCCGTAAACTCTCTAAACAACATCTTATTCCTGATCTGAAACTTCACTTGCCCTTTACCTCTACAGTTTCTAACAGTACCTTCCTCTGCTTTCTTTCTACATCCATCTAATGTACTATTTGCCTGCTGCTTCTCTACAAACTCTACATTAGTGATGTCTAAAATCTGTGAAGGAACTTTAAGTCTTCTATGAGCTTTAACTTTACTCTGCAATCTTGTTTCTACTGCTGAAGCTAACTTACCAAAATTTGGTTCTACAGCACCCTCTATGTTACCGATAATTACATCATTTGTAGGATTATCTACACATAGTGCTTCTACAGTACCCCTGTAATACGGACAATCAAGATCAATTAACGCCATGTCTAATCTGTGCTCACTACCATCAATGTACTTACATCGTCTGGACTTCCCTAACAATTGATTTGCATTTACCAAATTCCTTCGTACTATGACACATGTACACCCAGTATCTCTCATTGCAACTATAGCTTTACCATTACATATACCTCTAGTTGTCGGACATGAATTTATAGTAACTGTACCCAAGTCTTCAAAATCCCCAAGTTCTATCAAACTACTACCACTATCTGATCTCGGCATCGAAATTTTCGAATCTGCATCTCTATTTCTTCATCTACCTCTACTCCTACCTCTATAACCTCCTCGCCTTCTATTACCCTGATAACTATTTTCATTCTTACTTGGATTCATTGAGTTCGGTTCTATGTCTTCCGCTGCGTTAGCTTTATTTTTTAGCCTTATTTCTACAGAAAAATGCTGTATGCCCTAAACGACCACAATATGTGCATTTATAACCTTCATACTGCTGAGAT